TGATTCTTATGCATACAAGTATTGGTAGGCCATATTGTTATAATAATTTTAACATATTTTATTTCCACTATAATTTGCTCCTTAAACCATTAAATAATTAGAAATATATTGCTAAATTTTCAAACGTGGGAATTTCTCCATTTTAATTGTCATAGTATTAGTGATTTCTAGAGTATTTCCTGTTAGATTAGAGGACAAAGTTTTGCAATTTCAATCCTACAAAATTTACATTTTGATCCAGAACTCCTTTGTGAAATTTTTCATGGCACCTGAATAGGATGCATCTTTTGCTCTGTGTGAGTAGCCTGGTCTTATTTGTTTATTGAGACAAGTTTTTTAGTCATGTTTTTACAATATCTTTTTCTTCATTGTTTATTCTATAATTTTCTGAACAAAATTTAAAACTACAAACTATGATAGATTTGTCTATTTTATTCTTTATCAATATTACTTTATGTATTGTTTAAGGCATGTTATTGGTTAACCCAAACTTATTGTGATTATATTTTCTAATTGAATTTACTTTTTTATAATAAAAATAGTTCTATTTACTTCTAATAATACTATGTTAAGGTTGACTTTATCTGATTTAGAAAGCTACACTGCCTTTCTTTGGATCAATATTTGCTTTGTATTTATTTTCCAATTCATTTGCTTCCAATTACCTGTGTTCCTCTATTTCAGATGTGTCTCTTAGAAATATCATACAACTGGAGTTTGTTTTCAATCTGACAATTTTTGGATCTGAATTGATGTGTTTAGTCCATTTACATTTAATGTAATTACTAACGTGGTTAGGTTTCTGAGACTATCTTATTTTGTTTCTACTTGTGTTATTTTTCCCTGATTTCTTGTTCTTTGTTGCTTTCTCTATTTTATTTCTTGCTTTTTAATTAGTTAGAGATAATTCAGTTAGTTTTTAATAGATAGAGTTACAAAATGCATTTTTAATTTATTACTGTCCAGTCAGTAATAAAGTCAGGAACTTTTTCTGGATATAAGCAAAGAAGGCTCCTTAAATTCTTTAATTTAATGTACTTTTGTTCTCTCTTTGTGATACTGTCTTTTTGAACTTATATTTTAAAGCCAAAAGAACATTATTATTATACTTTCAGTATTTATATCTTTTCTAATGTCATTAATCTTTTTCTGATTTTGCTTCTTCCATCTGGGGTTACTTTTTCCTCCTGCCTTTTGCACTTTCTCTAGTATTTCTTTCAGCATTGGGATAAATTATCTCAATTTTTATTAGCCTAAATATATCTTTTAACTTTTTTCTTTTTAAAATATTTTTCCAAATATAGACTTCTAAGAAAGCAAATATTTTCTTTAGCATTTAAAAAAAAGATTTCAGTATGTTGTCTTATGACTCACATAGTTCTTGTTAAAAACTCAGTAAAGTCTAGCACACTATGGTACTTTTTAAGGGAAGAAAAGTTTTTGCTCCAGCTACTTTTGAGGTTTTTATTTTTGTTCTTTTTGTTTGTTTGTTTTTCCAGGACCGGGAATCGAACTCACGTCCTTGAGCTTGCCAGGCAGGCACTGTGCTGCTGAGCTAAATCCCCAACCCCCTGCTTTTGAGATTTTTGTCTTTGTGTTTGGTTTCAGCATATTTACTGTCATAGTGAGGCAATTTCCTGGTAACTGATCTTGTTTGGAGTTTTATAACAACGTACATCTGAGATTGGAAATTTTTTGTCAGTGAGCAAGGTGCTTGGCCATTATCTATAAATACCACCTTTGCCTCACTTTCTCTCTCTTTCTCTGGAACTTCAATTTACATTATGAGTGTCCACTAGGCCTCATATACTTCTAAAGATCTTTTCTATATTTTTTCATTACTTTCCTGAACTTCAGTTTGTAAGTTTTCTACAAATTTTCAGGCTCACTAATTTTTCTGCTCATAATTTCATTCAGTAATTTATTTATTTAAATTTTAGTATTATTTTTATATCTCAGTGTTCCACTAGACTCATTATATATTCTAATTCTGTAAACTATCTAGCCATCTTTCATCTATTTTTACATATTATTCGTAATTATCTTAAAGCCAGTGCCTAGTAACTTCACTATCTGGATAGTCTATGGATCAGAATCTATAATTTGTCTGTTGGTTTAGTTTTGTTTACCATTATTTGACTCCATCTGTTAGAGTAACTGGTAGTCTTTTATTGATTATTAGACATCATGCTTGAAAACTGTAGATGCTCTTGATAACACTGTATTCCTCCAGAAAATATGTAGGTGTCTTCTGTTAGGCACTTAGGATACAGCGGTAAACTTCCTCAGAATGTCTCAGGCTGAGATTTTGACTTCATATGAATTAGGCCATTTCTCTTTGCCCTTGCATGTGGGGTGTCTTAGAACCCCTCTTCCTTAACATGGTCTCAAATCCAGTTTTTTTCCTTTGTTCTGAGACTCCTGAAATCAGTGGTTAGTTCTCCGATCTCCAAGGTTACTTTCCACTTACTTTCTTGGCCATTGGCTGGGTCCGAGAATGTACAGCTTAATAAATACCAGGGGTAGCAAAAGAAAAATCACAACAGAAAATCCACTTCCCTTTTGTGCTTTCCATGTTTCTGGGATCTTGAGCCTGCATGCTGATTTCTGTCTTCCCAATACTGAGACTGAAGCAAGCTCTAGGCTACATCACTTCTCTATTCTCATCACTGAAAATCTGGCAATTTATCTGAAAGGAAAAACTGAGCTATATGTAGGATTCCCTCCAATGTATGACTCTTCTCTCAGGATTGGACCTTCAGGTCCTTGTTGCCTTGGCCTTTGTCTGATGTCTTTAAATAGCTAACTTTAAGTAGTTTATTTACTTGTGTTTTTAGTTGAATGAATCTCGCCAGTGTTCCAGCTCCAGTAAAGTTAGAAATCATTCAGTAATCTTCAGCCAAAAATTCTTATCAAGTGGGTGATATTTGTCTCCACATTGGGTAGGAAGACTACTGTTTAAAGTTGTAGATTTGGTCCCAAAGATAAACCTAAGTAAGGCACATGCAAACCATGGCTAAATGAATTTGTTATCAAGATTATTTTATATCAAAACGTTATCCTTGCACCAAAAAGTTATCCTTGGTAATTTAGGATATACTTTCTTACAGTATTTTATGTACCTCTTCTCTACTGCTACTGTTTGTGATGAGGATTATTTATCTAAACTTGCCATTAAATGGATTATTTGACTATTGCCCATTCACCCACTGCCGCCATGAAGACTAGAATGATTTATATTAGCTTTCATTGGAAACATAGGAGGATCTCCAGCTTGCCAACCATCCAGATTGCCAACCATCCAGTTTGCCAACCAATGATTTTTAACTTTTGCCGATCAGAAGTATATAACTGAAACTTGTAGACCTTCCCTAACAACTTTATCAAAATCTTTTGAAATTTTTTTCTGAAACTATTTGTTATGTAGTACCACCTATAACCTACATGTCGTTTTTATGACATGCTCAACAAAATGGCTCCATCTACCCGACAAGCCCTCCTTCCCTAGTTATTCACTCACAAAATTGCAAATCAATCTGAATCCATTCTTTGGTTCATATTGGATTCTCAGAAATACCAGGTCTTACTTGGAGTACCTGAAAATGAGCTCTCAGCTCAAACAATATCTTTCCTTGATAGTCTCAGATCACCAATAACATCATAAATTTGATTCCTCACGTACTAAGAACCAAAATACAAAGCTTAGTGATGAAACAACTACTACAGTGCTCTAAAACTATTTCAGACACTATAGAGCCCATAAAATCCAGCTGTGCATGCTAGCAAAGTTTGATCAATGTGCTTCATTTTGGACCTATACATTTTATTTTTATTGTATCTTTCATATCTGATATATATTTATTTATAATACATATTTTTATAAAATATATCATATGTATTATATTTCTTTACCTCAACCTGATTCATCTCATGAATTTTCATGTTCTGTTTCCTTGAACAACATATTTTACCTATTGCTAATTTACCATTCATCTTTCTCCTTTCCCGATCCACACTATTAGATATTCTTTGGATACTACCTCATATTTGCTTTGATTGTCAATTTAATATGTTCCACACTCTGGGTCACAATGACTCTATCATACATAGCCTGTGGTATATAAATCATTATGTGATCTTCCTTTAATTTATTCCTTTCTGTTTTATATTTGATTACTAAGAAGATGACCTTTGTATGACCTCTTTTAAATCATTTATAAAATGTTTTCCAGTCTCTATAATCATTCTCTTTCCAACATGAAATATTCCTCTAATGGTGGTAATTCATTAAAAAATTAAATATTGGTGGAATCCTATAAAAGAGTCTGAAAATGTATACACATTTTGTTTCATAATTGTTCTTTCATCACAGGGATATTAAGCTGATTTAATGACCCATATTGGATCATGAATAAAATTTCTTTTATAAGAAAAAAGAGACTGCCTAAGGGATTATATTTTATAAGTATTCAGGCATTGCACTCCTTGTTAAGGTGTCTACTCTTTTCTGAGATGAGCTGCTCTTGCCTGCACTTCCCAGGATTTACTTGAAAACCCAATCCATGCAAGAAGCCCACGATTTTTCTGGTACAATAATTATTGTAAACCAGGTTTCATTGACTGGCTACCTTCTTGAAAGTATCCCCCCTGGTGCTCTCTTAGATTTAAAATGAATCTTATTTCATGGCATTAGTTTATTTGCATCTTGATTACAGATTCAATCTAAAATATCCTGTTTGCCATTGCTCTAATACCTATTTGTTTAGATTAAAACATCTTTCAAAATCTGTATGTATGCATTTTGCTGTATTAGATATTATCCCTGCTTGTATATTGAAACATTTCAATAGACTTTCTCCAAAGCCATTTTCAACTCTAAGAAGCTAATTCACTAAATGCATTTATTTTTTGTCTTTCTTCCCCCCACCCCACCTCACTCTCATAAACTCCCTTCAGACCTCATTGTTTTCTCTTCCCTGCTTAGTCTTCATTTCACTTACCCAGATGAGTGACAGCTTCTTTCTCCCAAGGCCAGGTGGCAGCACCTGCAAGATTTTCTCGCACTGAGGTGGCAAAGTAGACATTGAGGAAATGGGTGCCGTTGAGCTGCAAGGCCTCCTTTAGCTCCTTCACACTCATGTATGCCCTGGAGAGCATGCAAAAAGAGAAAATGTCACGCCTACAGATGGGCGCTTAGGACAGCAGAGGCAGACCTGCTTATTCTAATGGTGTGCTAGTCAACATAGGCTTTTGGGGGCCCGGGGAGGCCAAAAATAAGTACTGGCACACATTTTTAGTATTTTACTCCAAGTGGCATCCTGTATTATAGACACTATAATATCTGAATGAACGTAATATTTGACATCATTCTCAATTCCCCACCTACACTCACCTTACTTCTTCAAGATAAATCCAAAATTACTATTAATACTACTAATTGTTTTGCCTTAAGATTTATTCCCAGGCTGTGGTTAGAGGTCTTCTAACTTTCACCCTCTTGTTCTTTACCTCACAGTGCCTGATCCTTATGGTGATAGGAAGTTCCTTTAAATCACTATATCAGTACTATATCAGTATATGTTTATGGCAAACAATATTTTTTAGCTAAAAGGGCAATAGTAGTTGCCCATGAAAGTGGTAAAAATGAGAATGAGTTATAGGTATTATGAGACATCATAAAGTTATTGCATATAATAGTAATTATATACACACTTCCCAGTCCCTGTCCTTAACCCATACAAACTCTCCTACTACTTTAGGATACCTACCAAGTGTCTTTATTGGCAGCACACAAAGCCCTAGGCAATATTGTGCTTGTATTTATGCATAGAAGTAAAGATTTATTAAAAACACAAGCTCCATGAGCCATAAAGAAGGAAATGTGCATTTGGTGTCTTTATAAGCGCATATACCATCAAAAACCTTCAGCTTCCTGGTATCAGTGAAACTTAAAACTTTACCACGAGCAAATAGAGCTTTTCCATCCTCGCCAAACAGTGATTTTAAGAAGGAACAACCAAACCAGAGCTCAGTGGGCTTTCAGACCCATATGCTATTTCCCACAGTGGCCATGGCTCATCAACACAAATGGAGGAACATTCTTATCACAGCTTCAGCCAGAGAGACAGTCCCTTGACACGGGGTGGAAACTTCTTTTACAGATTTTGCTTACTGGTTGTCCTTCTCCTAGACAAGGTGCAGGTACTGAAGCCTCTCAGTTCACAAGCTCTTACGGGGGCAGCATGACCTGATCTCTTTTTGCACTGCCTCCCAGCTGTGACGTTGAGGCCATCTACTTTCCCCACGGGTGGGGTGTGCTGGCAAAAGACTCCAGAGAAAGAAGCATCCCGAAGAAAGCTCTTTTTGTATTCTTTGGAACAGAATCAAAAAGGGGAATAAAAGCAAAGAAACCAAAAAGATCTTGCTTTAGAACTAGAGATGCTTGGAAGTAAAGGGTTTTTAAAATAGCATTTTATTAACATAATATCTTGGAAAAATAGTTCTCAGGCATAAGAAATCATCCAAGCTCCATAAGGTGACGTCAGATATGAGGAGAGGGATATTCCTTCTGCTCCTTTCTTATTAAAAATAATTATAATTATTTTTGCTGATGACATGGAGTGAATCTTCAAGGTGGAGAGGTTTCAACAGGAATGAGCAGGAGGAGGGAGGGAGAGGGAAGGAAAGAGGAAGAGCAAGAAGAGAAGGGAAAATGGGAGGAGGAGAGGAGGGGAGAGGAAACCGAGCCTACATTGAGCTCAGGGAATCAGAGAAAAAAAAATTCACACCCATTCTCTGTCCCTATTCCAGGGTTCCAGTTAACTTGGAAGTTGGTAACTGAACAGTTTTTGTCTTTCTTAGCCTCCTTTACTTTCCCAAATCCCGCTGTTCCTGGCATGGTCTCCCTGCTCTATCTGTGGGTTACTGGTTTCTCTGTCTGCTGTTTACCAGTTTTGGCTGCCGTCTGTCTGTCCTTTCTCAGCCCAGCATTTCTGTTCATTTCTGTTGAGTGCCTTCCAAGAGGCCTCTTCCTCCACACCAAGATCACTAGTAGGTTCTACTCATCTCTGTTTGCCTCCTTGCCCAATTCTTTCCCCAGCCATAAATCACCCTTCCAGATGAACGTGTTTATGTCACACTGGTTGCAAGGTGGGTGTGGCTGCTCAGATGCCTGCACTCCACAGAAATATAGAAAGTAATCAGCAAGGCTAAGGGAGGGAATGAATTTTAAAACACGAGAGACAGTTGGAAATCTTCATTAATTGAACTGGTAGGAGAAAGCTTCATTTTGTTGCAACCAACGCTACTACCTGGATTATTCTGTAAACTAGAGGGTGAAAGACATCATATAAAGTCAGCGAATGTGCTTTGCATGCAGAATGCTCACCTATTTAACACATGTACACCATTTCAAAAGTTAATCAAGGCTAAAGAAGATAAATGTCAGCTTCTCAACTAATGTGACCAGAGCTTGGCTCATATTTATAGTAGGGAAGAAATGGACATAGATCTTAAACTCCAAACTTAGCATCTTGCTACACAAATCACTAGTTGAGAGATAAATGAACTTAATCTTCAAGAGAAAGTGAAATGACACTCACAAACAGTAAAATGCCTAAGGCTGACGAACTGACAAGAATTATGTATTTAAAGGGATAAACTAGGTTGATCAGAGTAAGTCCTACCACAATCTACTTTTTCTTAGAGTCTGCACACTCTAGATAAAAATATTTCTTTCCTACACTTCTCTTTGGTGTCTGATCTGACAAAATAAAGTTGTATCTTGGTTTGTATAAAAATGGTCTCAGAAACAGGCTTTCTGGGGTGTGGGGAGGCATATCAAATTGTTTTGGCCCATGGCTCAAGCCTGTTACTTCTAACATATCCCCTGGAAGAAAGCACACTGACTCTCCCATTCTATGCCTGTAACCTCTTGGGTTGGGATTGCCCATTGTCCGGTGTCAGGTGTGTTTCATTGCCCTTCCAGACTCACTCTGATTCCAGCCATGTCTCCTACCACTGACTCCTGGCCGCAGAACAGTGTCTAATTGTGCACATAAGCCCCAAGTCTTGCTTAGTGTGTGACTGCATAAAAGGGTGATGCTCTGTGTTCCAGTTTATTAGTCAATTAAATAACCCCTTTGTAGACTCATACAAATAATCCAAGAAGGAAGTCATAAAGAAGGAAAAGGTCTTGAGGTATCTGGAGGGAAATGAACCAGTATCAACAATTGGTGTGCTGAAAAACACAATGGAAAGTGGACATGGTGACACATCCCCATAATCCCAGTACTCTTGGAGACAGAAGCAAGAGGATAGCAAATTTGAATGCAGCCTAGGTAACTTAACAGAACCCTGTCTCCAAATAAAAAAAAAAATAGAAAAGGACTGGTGATGTAACTCAACCTGAAGGCCCTGGGTTCAATCCCCAGTGATGAGAAAAGAAAAGCAAGCACAAAGCATAAGGGATGAATGAACACCCTGCTACCAGAGCCCATGGTGCTACTCCACTATCCATTCTCAGAGCACCCCACCCACCATCAGGAGGGGCCCAACTGCACTCTGAAAGAGCAAAGACAGCCTGTGTGAGAATAAAAACTGATGCCCTCAAGGCCTGTCAGCCAGTTCTCCTCACCAAAATGACTTGTGTCTAAGCTAGAGTGATGGTTTGGTTAAACCTAAACTTCCCTGTCATTACTGCCAACTGTTTCTCTGCCCAAAATATGCAGAAAGGGTTCCACTACACCTTTCCCCTATCTGCTCTGCCACTGCAGTTTCTCCTCAGTGAGTATCACCTTCCACCTGCTCCCCCAACACTTGCACTGTACCCTCACCTTGGTGCTTTAACAGCCATTCTTAAAAGCACCAACAGCCATTTTCCCCACTGACCATTACAACAACCAAGTCTTAATTTTCTCCCCACTGTTACTTGTTCCTTTTTCATAGGTACATATCACTGCACTATGTCACCAAATGCCTTCTACTTCTTTGCATTTCTTGTATGCATCACAAGCTTCAGCATCCGGCTTCGTGTTCCCCTTCACCCCAGTTCCCATCACTCCCTTAGGAAATATCAATATCTATGTGAAACATCCACTGAAAACACAGTCTTTACATCTGATGACCTTAGCTCCTTCCACTTTGTCAGCCATTCTCACCACACACTTTCTCAGATTATTTTTTTACTTCTAATCTCACATAGATCTTTAGTTCCACTTGTCTCTCACTTGTCCTTATTTATAATTGTCTCCCTTCTGGGGATTATTTGAAATCTTCAACGTTCTTCTGTCTCTGTCACCTTTGTTATTCGTTTGACTTTTACCTAATGATCATGCCTCCTTCCTTGATAATAAAATCATGGACATTCTTTAAAAAGTTCACCACTACTCCCCATACACACAACCCCACACATTTCAACTGACTTAACTTCCTCACCTATGTTTGTTCTCTTTCCTCTGGTCCCAGAGAATGAGGTTTTCTGAAAAAATCCTCTCGTTTTCCTTCTTCTGTTCTAATTCAAACTTCCTAAGAGAATAATTTCCTCATCACCCATTTATTTCTTTTTATGTACCCCTATAATCACATTATAACGTGGTTTTCATCTGCATTACTTTATCAATATTGTTTTCACTAAATTTTTCAATGATATTTTAATTTTTCTTACCCCAAACACACACAAAAATATTTAGTCACTCTCTTACTGGAATGTTTTGATGCATTTTATATTAATAGTTATTTCTTCCTTCTTGAGGCTCTCTATTTCATTTGCTTTCATTGAAATGCATGCTTTTTCCTGGTTCTCTTCTTACTTTTGAGGCCACCAATTCTCAGGTTCTGATATGGGTTCTTTTCCACCCTCCACCCTGCTTCTAATCCTTAAAAGTTATTCCCTGTGGACCTGTGTATAGCCCATCGTTCTTTCACTCTCCTTGTTCACCACTGGGAACTCTTCTACTCTTAAATTATCAAGCATCATCATTGTTTGGAGAACTCTCAGACATGTAGATGTATCCAGTCCTATTTCTTCTCCAGCATTAGATTCTTTTTTCCCTCTATGGATCAGTGTGATGAGTGGTTCTACATTACATTAACACAAAAGAAATTCAGGCACAGTGAATTTCAATGTATCTGAAATAGTGTTCCATC